GGGACCGTAAACGCTATAAAATTTTAGACAAGACTTCTCAAACCTGACTGCACTCTACGACCCTGGGTGGCGAAGTATCGACTTGAAGCGAAAAAGAGGAGTTCGAGTGACTGTATTCAGATCTCTGAGAGAAGAGGGGAGACCCTTACTGCTGCCTGATGAGCTTGAGAGAAAGCTCCGAGCGTTCATTGTCAGCACAAGGACTGCAGGAGGGACTATCAACAAGCATGTTATTTATGGCATTTTGATGGGTCTCATTAAGAGTGATCTTGGAAGATATGGTCAGTATTTAAATTTTGTGATGACCAACGGTTGGTTACAGTCCCTGTACCAGAGAATGAACTTGACTCGAAGGATTGTAACCACGTCAAGGCCTGCTATCACCAAAGCAACTTGGTTCGAAGTAAAGGCAACGTTTCTACATGATATAGTGTCCGCTATAGTTGAAGATGAAATTCCCGATGAACTTATTCTAAATGTTGACCAAACACCGTCTAAGTTCGTACCCACGGATAACGTCACGATGGCAGAGAAGAGTTCTAAGCATGTATCCAGATATGGGAGTAGTGACAAACGTGGAATTACTGTTACTTTGGCGGAAGCGTTAAGTGGACAAATATTACTGGTAAGACAAGCCGTTCACTGCCGCATGTTGAATTTCCAGCCGGGTTCTGTTTGAGTTACAATGAAAAGCACTGGAGTAATGAAGCCGAAACAAGGGCTCTGGTAAATAAAATAATTTACCCGTATTTCACTAAAGTCAAAGAAGAGTTAGGCCTCCCTGAAACTCAAAAGGCATTGCTAGTATGGCATGCGTTCAAGGCACAAAGTACAGATAAAGTCTTGAGCGAGCTGGCAAGGCTAAACATAAACGTTGTCACAGTACCAAAGAACATGGCTCATCTGTTGCAGCCTTTGGATCTAACAACAAACAGATCTGTCAAGAAGATGGAGAAGCGTGGTTTCAGTGACTATTTTACATCCACTATCACTGAAACATTGGAGAAAGACCCGCAAAGAAATGTCACCACAATCGAGGTGGACCTGAAGCTTTCAACACTGAAGCCAATCCACTCCAAGCTACTTATGAGTATATATGAATTCCTGCAAGGCGAAAAGGGGAGGAAAATCATCTTGAATGGATGGAAAGGAATAACGGAGGCAGTAGAAAGCGCCAGGAAGGGGCGCATTCCAACCCTTGATCCATTCATGCCTTAGTATCCTATGTTTTTTGCCGGAAATAAAGAGCAAATTTTGTTGTTTGCCGTTGTTGTTTTCTAACGAAATGAGCGCAAAAAATATTAAATTCACGTCTTAATTATGCAACGTACCGCACGGAAATTCGCGTTAATTAAATGTATGTAAACATAACTTTTGGAAAATTCGCGTTAATTTTATGACGCGTAAATTTTGTTCGCGTTATTAACATGCTTCGTTATATTCCTATAATAAGGTACTCACCTTTTCTTTTAGGCTGAAAAAGAATATCTTCTAAGACTTCTACCTCCAAAGCCTTTGCAAGGACACTTTGCCGCCGTTTGCATGCATCTTCTGTTCCTGTGTGAAAATGAATTTTATTCTCCAGAGGAAAATGAATGTTTATTGTTACAAGCTCAAGACATATTATGCAAAGTTGTATAGCTTTAGATAGCATACCTTGAAACATGACGAGGCCAGGCCAAACACCCTTGGTATCTTTTACTCCAACTTTTTGCTTCATTTTGATATTCTTTTCCTGGATCGCCGTTGAGGGCACAACGGAGTACTTTTCCTCTTCTACAAAGTAAATTACAGCATGACTTTTAAAATTGGAATCTAAAGATAAAAACAATAAGTCATATGATGTAGAAAACTAAAATGCAAGTTAGTAAACTGCCCCTAAAAACATATCTTTTTTCCCTTGAAGTGAAGCTACTTACTGACGACGAAAAGGAGGGGCACCCAAAGTTGTCTGATGACTGAACTTTGTAGCCAATCAGAGTATACATTATTATGGTTACTATCGTGGTAATATCTTGTTTTCCTCAGAATTCTTTGCTTTTTAATGCTATGTCATTATATGGCGTGTGTGAACCAGGCCCAAGTGTGCCCCATTGAATTCCTGGGATAAATTTAACTGGAGGAACTTCTGACGGTTTTTTACTTTTATCTAGAGATTTTGCTTTAATATTTTTTCGTGAGAAACACTCAGCCAACCAGAATGTGAATGCATTAAGATGATATCAAAGGAATCCTTGTAAGTATAAAAATGTTTGCATTGTGATGTCAAAGTTTCCCAAGTTGGCCTGTATTTTAGGCTCTTCTAAGGTTTTCCAAAACAGAAAGATTGCGAGACAATGTAAAAATATTTTGAGGCAAGTGATTTTGTGTCAATTTTGAAATTATATCACTTTATCATAACGAAATAACAGAAAAGAACGAAATCTAACCCAAATGATAAGATTTGACCTTTAACTTGACAAAGATAACAGTAATCTGGATGATTAACTTTACTTGTGTGTAACACTATCTAACACGAGGTGCCCTTTGTAGGGCACCTAGCGACTATATGTACGCAGTGAGAGACATAAGTGTAAAATGAATAACATGTTCGATGCAAAATCTGCTTTCTTTATATCTTAACATCGATTATAGGCAGCAATCTGTACACTGATCTCCTTACTAGGAGTGATGTTACTTGAGAGTTTACGACTAAGGTACCTTAACGGTGCAGAGAGAATGTTAAAATGTAGGCAGAGCAAGGTTGGTTTGTGTAGTAATTGATAAGGATCATCAATGGAATTGTCTTAATTACACATGGAGAGACTTTGTTCTATTTTCGAAACTGCTTACCTTCGCTATGGTAAACAGCGTCGATCAACCTAAAGGTTGAATTCTAGTCTCGTTACAGTACGGTGTATACAGTTGGACAAGTCTTGATGCTATTACAGTTGTCACCATATTAGGAATTTCCAGTGTCTTACCATCGGAAAGTTTTAACTTTTTTGTTCCGTACGCGACATCTTGAGAAAAAGACAGACTGGAAAAGAAATCAAGAAAGTGGTCAACCTTTTTTTGGTGCAGTCTACTTTGGTTGATCTATGGGGATTGTATTTGTTGACCAGGCTCGTTAAGAAAAGTGTGTTTTCTTGCTTTTTCAATTCTCCATTTTGTAAGACCCAGAATTGAGGTCAATAATTCAGACTTTAAGTGGTCACAAACAAAAATAGAGAGTATCTGCTGTCTGGTATACCATGAATTTGCCTCTTCATAGAGCTCTATGAGTCTTCCAGGAAGTTGATTATCTGGCCTGTTTCAGTCTCTTCCACTGCTGCACCTCTCAACAACCTGATTGAAAAGCTAAGTGGACATTTTCTCTAAATGATACATATTACATATGTATCTACGTAAACCCATTTTTTGTTGATTTACTAATTGTAATACATACAGCTGTATACCACTGTTATAATAGAAGATATAAACCTATTCTGATCTACATGTACCTGTGGCTGCTGTGTTTGTGGTTTCATCATATCAAGATTTGAGCTGGCTGCAGATGGCCTTAGAAGGGGGCTGGTAAATCCATGCGATAAAAAAGTCATTCCCAATTGGCAAATTATTCTGAGGAATTGTCCCATCTTTATTACTCAAGTTAGGTTGGTTGACCTTTGGCAAAACAACTGTATCCAAAAAGAAAAGGGGAAAGAAGAACTATGAAGCTCATAGGTGATGCACACAACTAACCACATATTTGACCCACAAATATCATAAGGATATTTCACTTTTGCCAAAAAGCTGATATAAAAAGTTCTCTTCAAGTTTTTGATGTACACAGTTTCTAATTCAATGCTAAACAAGTTCTCTTTTAGTAGCTAGGTTATAAGGTGAAAACAGAGAGCTATTTCTGTGTATGTTTTTGTTTACATATCAAAGTCAATTAATACAGATGTTAAATGATCTACATCTGTCTGGATAATGTATGATAATTGTTTGATCAATTGACCTTAAGTCACTCCCAGGAGTGACCAACAAAGAATTTCACCTTACAACATTCATACATACTCAAACAGAGATAACAAGAAGAAAGAAAATTATCAACAAGCAGATGGTGCTTGTTGATAAGTATGTCTTTACTTACCAAATTCTCAGAACTAGAATCATACAAGCGACATAATTGGGGAATGGCATAGAGTTGAATTATTCATATGTAGATCTTGGGAGTGAAAGGGTTCTACAGTACTTTATACTGAACCTAAAAACCTCGATATAACCCAGTTTTATATTTACTTGTAGCTTGTGGTTTTTTCACATTAAAATTGGTGCTGGGTGCTAATGGTCTGCAGGGTGGTATGTCATACTGAGTCATAATTGCTGCACTTGTATTATTTGAGTTACATACAGGCTGGTTCAAGTGCTGCAGAGCCACTGCGATAAGAGCATAGAAATAAAAAATTTTCAAGTTCTCTAGTGGACATACCATTGTGCCCTGCACATTCTCAATAAATAAGGGAATATATAAAGGGAACAAATAAAGGGAATAAATAAATAAAAAGGACACTAGAACTGAAAATTAATGTGTATAGAAATAGCCCTCAGACACATTCACCCGGGAAAGGTAATAATAAACAAGGGAATAAATAAAGGGAATAATAAATAAAAAAGGACACTAGAAATGCACATTAATGTATACAGAAATAGCCCCTGACACATTCACCAGATATATGCAATCTGGTACTGAAATTGTTTGGTTTCCTGACCGTGTGACTGAGGTCTTGGAGAGTGCAATATTTTCAGGTATAAGGTCAGAGATGCACTGTCATGAAAGAGTAGAAAAATTTATGATCAGCACCAATGAAAATGAAGAAAATAAAAGCTATGCTTATAAAAAAAAAAGCTTTTCCCTCCAGACAGGAGGCAAAAATAAAATAATTCACACTTCAGTGTACAGCTGTAATAATATAATCATTTCCTATTAGATTTGGATGATGAAATGAATGGATTCATAAAGCAATAAACTAACTGGGTGGAAATAGTGCTGTTTTCTTCATTGCCTTCCTAGCCTTGTATGCCTTCACAGCTTCCTCCTTGCTCAATCTTTCTGGAAACTGTCGGTGGAGGGGCTCAGGTGCTCTTGCTGTGTACTTCTTGATTACTTCCTCCCTCTTTTCTTTTGGAAAAGTGAAAATAAGTTTCCTCAAACCATCAACATAACCTGAAAAAAATATGAATGTATAATGTACATGTTTGTTTGTAAATAGTTCAGGTTCAGGGTATGTCAAATAAGAAGTAATGCTCTGCAAAAGAGCTGCAGGGTTTTACCCCAGAGAAGGACACAAGGAAAGCAAAGTATTTAGAAACTACTGGTGTAGTTTTCTTGTAAATAAGGTTTTCTTCACCGCAGTCAATAACACCAATACTAATATTTACCATAGGTAGGTGGGCATGCCACCTCTCGCACAACTTCCTCTCCCATTTTAAATTTTGGGTACGTGACCTGAATGTATTCATGTCCATCCCTTGCCCTTTGGGTTTCCCTCTGGAGATTCTCGTTGAAATGCAAACTTGCAAGTATGTGCCTATCAAAACATTTTTACAAAGATGAGCAAATTCATGTTCATTTCATAGCTTAAAACAACAGAATGACTTGAAATCATTTTAAAGAATTTGAATGACATGTATACCTGCTGAGAGTCCCCAGCCAAGTAAAGCAGGTCATTTTAGGATGCCAGTAGTTCAAGGTTGCTTGGAAGCCTTCAAGGCAGCTCGTCTGGGCATCTGGTGAAAGTTTCTTTATATCATTCAATAACATTCTCTTGGTCAACAGCAGTTTCAGTTTGTCATATGCTTCAGTTCCTGTTTAAGGTAAACATGAAAGAAATCACTTAAGTCTACTTTGTTGATATCAGTGGCTTAAATGTGGCTCACTGACCTTTAAGATATGTAGGGTTGCAAAAATAAACAGAACTGGCCAAGGTAAGTTGAAAAAGAGATGCAGTAAATTTTATATTATCAATTTCAATTTTCATACCAACTTTAATCCACTTTCTGGGTTCAAGCTGTCCATGATGGCACTGTTTGTAAAGTGGATCTGGGTAGTTACTGTGTTTGTTGCTGACATGATGCAAAAATGAGTTCCATTTGGCAAGGATGAGGGACTCAAACCCAGCTTTTGTTGAGGTTGCACACCAGTAGAGGTGGTTTCTTATTCCTTTCATCCATTCTTTAACAACTTCACACCCTTTCTCTCTGCTCAGAGCCAACAACTTTTTCCCCAGTGATCTCGCTACATGCCATATATCAAAATAATGCTTGGTGTTGACACAGTTCTCCCTAATCCACTTTGCAATGCCTCTATGCCTATCAGACACAAAAATACCAATTGATAAACCAAGATGCTGCAAAAAAGAAAAACATCTCTTTGCTCCTTCCAGCTCAGTCTGTTGACTTCCTCCAGTTTCATTTGCCTAGGATGAACAAGAAAATAAAAGGTTAATAAAATGCTGGGAATACTATACAAATCTTTGGTTATTTTCAGTATTACTACTTTTGTCATTACTGTAATTTTTATCGTATTCATTTTATGTATCAGACCATTCAGTTTTAGTTCCCCCAAAGTTTATATTATAATTGTTTTAGTATATATAGAAATAATTTTATATCTGTCACTATACCACAAAATGGTTAGAAATTAGATTGTTCATGCCTGAGTCTGTCTCTTCAGCTGCACAGAGGTGAGTAGTGTTTGTTAATGACTTCTGAACTCACCAATCAACCCACATGAAAAACATCATTCACTGGTGTGGTATATACTAGTGCCCAGTATTCATACAACATTTACCTGAACTAATTCAAAGTGGACAACTTTCAAGATTGTGGTACAAAACATTGTGTACACTCCATATTTTGCAGAATGCCCCATGGAATCAAACCTGCCATCACCGGTCCATGCCACATTTTTTAATTTCTTAATATTCTCTATCAGTTTTGCCTGATATCTTTCCCAGTAGAGGAGCACAGCAGGGAATAGGAAAGACCTCTGATGTCGAAAATAGGTGCGGCCAGAATACGCACAGAGCCCCATATGGCGGAATACCAGCAAGACCTTGCTTATCGATGCCCCAGCCATCAAGACTCTAAAACTTAACAAGATATTACCGACAGGGTTCTTTCCCAAAACAGTTGGCTGTGATTTCCAAGTGTACTCCTTGTGACATTGTGGACAACTCTGAGTCACTATAACCATCGTTCCACACTGCCTCATTCTAGCTTTTGGAAAATTTGCTTTGCAGTTAAAACACAAGAGTGTGAACAGTTGTAGTAGCATGGAGTAAAACACAATGAACTTAGGTTCATTGTATCCAGGAGTGTCAGAATTAACTCTGCAAAATATGAAACATGTCTAGGTCACTTGAATCATATGATACCCAAAAAATTACTTTGATGCCCACCACTTTTTCTTCCTATTTGCTTCGAAACTCAATTGACTGCTTGTGTGTACAATTCAAGCAATTCTCTGCTATTTTCCAGTCTGGCTTTCGAGTGAATATGCCAATACATTCCAGTTATCATAATAGCTGTCTTATAAATGGAGTAGAAATGCATCTTTTAGAAGGAAATGAATGCATTCCATGATTCAGGAAAAAATTTAAAGTAACATTATAAATATAATAAAGCAATGAAGGTTGTCACAAATAGTACCCACCTGATATCCTTCTCTAGATGTTCATCAGCAGGATCCTCTTCCATTTCATCATCTCCAGTGGAATCAATTGAATCTGTGGAGCTCTTAGGTGACTTCCAATCCCCATCCTTGGCTTCGCTTTCTTTCTCAGTTTCTGTATCGCTCCAAGCGCTTGACCAAACAAATATATCCTCTGATCCACATTTCTCCTCTTGGGCAGTTTCCTCCTCAGTTTCTTCCTCAGTTTCTGTTCATTCACCTTCTGTTCAAAGTCAAACATGAAATGGGATTCAAGACTTATTATCTACATGGCTGACAAATCATTAACACGTATGTTAGAGTTATTCACAAATGCATAAAAATTTCTTGATGCATGATGAATACGGACAAAAATTTTCTAATTGATGCAAAGGTACGTGAGAATATACAAAAGACCAGAATGGTTTATTTCAGCACTTACACTTTTCAGCTCCCTTATCTCCTTTTTCTGTTCCTTGACTGCTGTCTTCAAGCGTCTCACTTGTTTTTGTAAGGTTCTCACCTTTTTCTTGTGTGTGCAGTCTACACAGGAGCTGCCTAACAGTGGAGTTGAGCTTCGGGATGGAGTGACAGCGGACAGAGGCGTCTCATCGATCAGAGTTGTACTTGCAGATATTGAGGCAAGTGGTGAAGTTATAGGGGTAGAACATGCCAGCGGAGGAGCAGCAATTGTAACTCTGGTGGCAGTGGAACTTGGGCTCACATGGGTGTGAGTTGAATCGGGGCAAATATTTTTCTCACCTCCGTCATCTACAACGTCGTGAAAATCTAGTAGGTTACAACTTGATTCTCTAGCCTCCTCCACTCTCCTCTTTTTTTCTTTCGTCTCATACTCTGTCAGTGCATCACGTCTCAACTATAGCCAAAATATAACAGCTCACGGTCGATTACGTTTGAACTCTACAAAAAAAATGACTGGTAATAACTGCTCACCTGACGCTTCTTGCGATCCGTCAATTCTTCGGAAACTTCTGGCACAACTGCGTGTATTGTGGGGATAGAACCCTTGATCAGAACTCTATTCCGCTTCGTGTTTTCCATGCCCTCCATCGTGAAAGCCATTCTGTTCTCGTAACAGCTTCGCTCAAAATGGACCGAACACAATGAGGCATGCTTTGAAATCGGCTCTTTGAAATCCACTCTTTGAAATCCACTCGGTGCCGTTGCACGAATTTCACCCATTTCTCTCTCAAAACGCGATCCACAGGAAATTGGTGCATCGAGATGCCTGGCGTGTAGCTGGTGTTCGTACAGCTCTGAATTGTTAGGCACTTCGGCGACACAATAGCGCCCACCTTTCCTTACGGACTTCTTCTTTTCCGCCATGTTCTCAATGAGAGTACAACAACCTGACGTCACAGCCTTAGCTCACGTGACTTTTTGGCCGCGCGGTCTAGGGGACAAATCCTAGGCCGTATTCGCGCGAAGTTCGAACAACAAAAAAATTTTTAGGGGAATTTTCGACGAATTTCAACTCTCGAATCGTTCATCATAGGTATCTAGCTACCAAAAAACAGCGTAAAAAATTTCGTGTCATATACACTTTAAAAAACCAAGTCCTGATCTCACCTGCAGAGTTAGGTCATCCCATCTAGAGGAGGTTTTGGTTTTGTAATCATTAAAGTGGAGCACAAGTGAATTTTCCCTCATCATTAGGAGATTTTGTTCCTTTAGCTGTCATGCCTCCAAGCTGTCTGGCTCTGTGACAATTCGAAGAGTTCGCATCTCAAGACCCCGGGATGGTGGAATGAAAACATACAGGCTTAAAAGGACCAAGTTGCAGCTTTCCCTGGCTTTCATGTTGATCTCCCTGCTTGATTGAAAGCATTCAGATTCAATGGAGACAGCAGCGACAACCTCATCCCTAAAAGATTGAACAGTGACGCTTACTTCGAATTATCAATGATAGTTCACAATAAGTAGTCAATGAAAATAGTGATAGCAGCAAATACTCCAGTCACAGGTACAGGATTACTACTGATAAATCCGGAAATGAGGTAAAAAATTAGGTTCCATCGAAATTCATGGGAACCCATTTTGATGTTGTGACAATACTTAATAGGATTTCGCTTCCGTCCAAAATTTTATTCCAAAAATCGTTGAATTGGGCGCAAACAAAAGAAATAAAAGATTGTTGACTGTGAAACTAAAGAAGTAGTAATGAAATAGTCAGTGAAAATAATAATAGCAGCAAATACTTTAAGGGCGTGTCATGCAATGTCAGGCAAGTGTCCTTTTCTCTCAAGCACGTAGTGGTCAGTGCGCTGGACTCTGGCCCAGATTCAAGTCCTGGCTGGGGCATGACATTGTGTCCTTAAGCAAGGCACTTCACTCACATTGCTTCTTCTTCTTGGATAGGATGTAAAGCTGTAGGTCCTCTCTCCTGCAGGTTAGGGGTAGGAGACGTAAATTTCCTATGCACGAGATTACTGTGTAGGGGATGTCCTCCTCGGAGTGGGATGGTTGGGAAGGTGAGGTCATTACATGGACTGAAGCAGCTGCCAGAGGCGCCTGGTAAAAATGCTGATGTCCGATTTTAACCTTACTTTAATGGTAAGTGTGACTGAATATATCCTCATAGAAGTCTGCGCTATGGAAATGGAAATGTAACTGATGTTAAACAACTTTCAAGCGGTTCTTGTCTTTTGAAAGCTGGTCAAACAATGAAGCCTGAAAGTTTAAATAATTTATGGGGCACAATGGTCCTCTCTAATTGCGCAGTCTACCCTGAAAATATGGCACAATTTCTGATTTTTCTTTGTCTTAATTTTGTGGCATCCTATCAAATGGCTTGAAAAAGTTTTGCAGCTTTTGTCAGGAAAGTTATTTCCTAAAAGAAACAAGAAACATTTGCCAAAACTCAAATCTGCACTCAGCCTGAGAAAGTTGAAATATTGTTCCACGAGATTTAGGCAGAGAAAAAGCTCTGGTGTTAGTCCATTCCAAGATATATCTTGAAAAATCCAAGGTAGCCTTGAGATGAAACGGAAAATCAGGTCAGGTGTGGCGCACACTTGCTTACTTGCCCACTTGCTTACCTGCTTGCTTGCTTTCTTGCTTGGAAGCAAGTAAGGAAGTAAGATAATTGATTGCATATAAGTGCAAGATTAAAATAATAGGTGGTCAAAGTCTCGCTGTATTGACTAACACAACATGCGCTTGGGCGCTTTCAGGAAAGTGGACTGCCGACGACTGGACTTTGTCATTCCAAGGTTCACCACTCTAGTGAAGTAATTGGAAACAGTATTGAGAAAGATGTCCACATCGGGTGGGATATCTCGTGGACGTAGGGCATAGGTGGGTCTTTTTTGGTTAGGAGTCAAATGGTGCGAGCTGCGTGGTTGTGGTGATTCCTGCTGCGTTGCTTGTGCCTTGAGGCTTACAGGTGATGGAGTCGAAGTCGGCAGATCTTGAGTGGTTTGATCTTGAAAATATTGGCTTTCTGATTGGTCATCGCCGGAAGCATAGCACAGGTCTATGAGAGAGGCCGTCCTTTTTTCTGCAGGTCTTTTTTTTTTAAGATGGAAAAAGAGATTGTTTTAACCCTTACATTGCTTGTTGCGTGGCTCGGTCAGCAGCGTTTGGAAGGAATTGAGGTGGACTAGGTGAGATTATGGACTTTTTGAAGCAAATTTAGGTTTTCGTGAAAATCAATACACTCAGGATTTTCTAAATGATGACCCTAATTAGGTTCATTCGTTGTTGACCCGGACTCCCTCTAACCATACCCTCGTAGAAAATTCATAAAAAATTTGCGTTTCAATAGTTTTTATTGAAACTTGGTACACATTTAGTTTAGACATTGGTCTATCCTTGTGTGTAGTTTCAATAATATTCATCAAGTATTTATTAAGATATGGGAGTTCAAAGTTGAAGAGGGAGTCGGGGTCAACTTTTGAGGGTAATGAGGGAAAAATTCATTTTTGGGTTCTAAAAATAGCATCATTCCTAGTCCCCCGTCGTGACCCGTCGAGCGATATTAGTACC